CATGCAGTCCAACTACGTCAACGTCACCCCAGTTACCAAAACGCAACCCGTAGACTACGGCAACTACGCCAATATAGACCTCAACGCTACTCTAGAAAAATTCGAAAGCTCCCTGCAGATCCTCCGCAGCGCGGGCTTCAGCCAGGAGGAGCTGGACGCGCTCGAAGACATCCCGGAGCACGACGACGACATCTCGACGGCCACCATGAACACGGCCGTGCTGCCCGCAGACTGCTGCCCCGAGCACGCCGGCTACCTGCACATGGGACCGCTCGACTCCGCCCGGCACTGCGCAGACAACATCAGCCGCGCCAGCCATCTCTCCGACCCCACGCAGCACTCCGACACCGACAACACCGTCAGCACGCGCCGCTCCAGCTCCGCAGACTTCACGCGCCGCCACGACGACGACCTCCTCGACCCCAGGCTCTGCTTCACCCCCACAGTGCTCCGCAAGACCGGCAAGAACGACCGCATCAACGAGGACCTACACATTATAATGCAAAAAGAAATAAGTCAAAAAAACAAAAGTTTAAAAATTTCTGAACCGAAAAGCGAAAACGTGTTGGTCGCTAGATTCAGGGATGCCGTCAAAATTAGGCGGTCGTCGAGCGTGCCGAGCAAGTCCGACAAGAACAGGGACTCCTCGAGCTCGAACGACTCCGGCGTGTCCACCGGCTCGCTGAAGCATCACCGCGGAGACTTCAACGACTTCGAGAATATCGTCCCCAACTCCAAGTCCTATAAGAAACATTTCAAAAGCAACAAGCAGTTCCGGAACACGTTAACACCGGTGCACACGCCCTTCATCAAGTCCAACTCCTCGGATCCTCTGAAGCACCTCACGTTCCAGTTCGAGGAGGTCGCCACACTCGCAAAGTCCAACTCGTTTGACGTGGATACGCTAACGAGGCGGAAGAAGAAAACTGGTAAGTTGGCAAACCATGTGCCCTGTTTAAAATAGTTTTTAGCGAGACATGTATGCACATTAACTTTTAACTTTTTCTGTAGGTATGACGTCAGTGGACGCGCGGCACAGCCAGCTGACCAGCAAGAGCACGTCGAGCGGCGCCTCCGACACCTCCGACTACATGGAGTCCCTCTCTGTGTCCTCGCTCAGCTCGTGCGACGCCCGCGAGCGTCACGCCGCACGCCCGCGCTCCGGCCGCGAGTACGCCAGCCTCGACCGCGGCGCACTCGCTGACTAGCCAAGCGCGTTCACCGACTAGCCAAGCGCGCTCACCTACTAGCCAAGCGCGTTCACCGACTAGCCAAGCGCGCTCACCGACTAGCCAAGCGCGCTCACCGACTAGCCAAGCGCGTTCACCGACTAGCCAAGCGCGCTCACCTACTAGCCAAGCGCGTTCACCGACTAGCCAAGCGCGCTCACCGACTAGCCAAGCGTGCTCGCTACATGCACATAGGGACAGTTTTAGAATAAATTCTGTCGGGGACACGTTTCCTCAGATCTACATATAAGTGGAATATGTACTTATGTCATTCAATGGTATGCACCAGCCTGGAACTTACTATATTTAAGTACATAACATGTTTTACTTGTATGTTTCGCACATATTATTTACTAAACAAATCCAAGTACAGTGTTTAACACTTTATTATTATTTTATTATAATTATTAAAATTTTATTACATCTTATAATTAACTTCAAATTGTTTCAATAGAAAATAATCTATTTATAAACAAGAATGGGGAATTCTTTCACCCAAATTTAAAAAAAAAACATTTACAGAGACAAAGGAATTTCGTAGTTACCGAGAGGAACATTTAAATCTTGTTTTTAAAACACCCACGTAAATATAACAATATTTAACAAATAACCAAATCCATACCCGACATGATAGAAAAACCTTATAAAACAAGACTTGTACATAAATAAACATTGAATACATAACAGTCGTTCCTATGTATATAGTTATATTTAGAAATATCTTTTTTTTCCAAACTATTTACAATAAGTATTAGATTTAACGAATTTAGAGCTACGCGTCAGTAGCGTGCCAAAAATGATAAACAACGGGCTAAAGGTTTTCTATATACAGTCAGCTAATGTAATATATTATGTAAACAATAAAACTATATATTATATAAGGTTTTTCATTACCGTATATAAATTAAGACGTCGTATATAATGAGTGAACGCAATTATAAATTGCTATATATTAAACTAGTGTTTTAGGGTTAATCGCCTTTTTAACGTAGAATTCCACTGCAGTTGTACGTATTGTGTATCTTTTTTACCAAAGTAAGGAAGACACTTAACATGTATACCACGGCAGTGGAGTCCTACAGTTATATTTACTTAATGTATGTACACGAAATTGTACGCGTCTTGTATTTAGTAATTTAGAAAAGTCATTTTGAATTATCTATTAAATGTATTATTTCTATTTTGGTGTCTTATATATTTTACGGTTTGCACGTAGTTAAGTACTTAAATTATTTGTGCCTTTGTACCACAGATTATGTTTTCCAAAATATTTGTTCTGTCAAAAACAATACAGATTAGATAAAGTTGTTTGACAATTAAAATGACGATTTTAATCGTTAATATTTCCTTCTTTCAATCTGTATTTTAAATTAAATGTATAAAAATGTATAGAATTTACGCAGTTATATAAACACGGAGTTAGCGAAGAAACTATTCAGTAGTGATAAATAAACGCCTGTTAAAACTTATAAGCAATAGTTCACTTCCAAGTAAATATAGTATTTTATTCATAGTGTAATTTTAATTAAAGAAAGAAATTCTTAGAAATCATATTTTGACTATATAATATAACCTATCTCTGATTTTAAAAAGTAATTAAAAACCTTTTATACTTGAACAGTTGTATTAAACATGGTATTATATATAAACTATTTTGTTTCAAATAAAATGTACTAAATTTACATGCTGCTAAGTTTTTATGCGTTACACGAATCATACTTTCCAAACAGTAAATTGGCGCCAAAACACATATTAACGAAATATTGTCACTGTTTTTTTAATTAGTGGCAAATTACCGTCCAAAATTACACTTTTGAGACTATTGCGAAATTATAAAATTACTTTTTCATGTGTTTATATTTTCAAACTTTTTTTTAAATGTCATTACGTCACATCGAAAAATAAAATGTGAAACATTTTTATTTTGCAGGCAAATATATTAATTAATTACAATCCTACATTTCTTTAATATAAAAAAAAGTTTCGCCTCTAAAATGGGCTATTTAGACCTTTAGTCTAGTCAGCGACAGTGTGGCGGCCATATTGGCGAATGTAACATCTGAATAAGATGAATAAAATTTCACCATAGATTTACAACATGTAGAGATGGAATGATTTATACAAGTTTGAACTTTAATCGAGAATCGATACCGATTGTTATTTTGTATTGTAAATGACAAAACTAAGAGAAAAGGACTCCTGAGACGCTTTTACATTTCGTCCCATTTTTTGTGCCCCGGATTAGCCTTATAGGTTATAAGTCTATGGTTTTTAGTATGTATGTAATTGACTCTGTGGTCGTCACACCTTTCATTTTTGTTGTGTTCTCACAAAATTGTTGCCGTGAATTTCGACTGCGTTCAAAAACCAAGAATTAAATTGTTAGCTCCAAATTCTTTTCCAAAAATACTGGGACAAGAATGGTTTTATGTTTGAGCAGTGGAAACTCACGGCTAGGCTGCACCGCTGTGAAGTGTTAATAATCTTAAGTCATTTCTATGTATAAATAAAATATTTTCTTATAACGTTTTACGTTGTCTTAACATTTATATTTTAACTTTGTAGTTTTCATTGCAAGTGAAATGAAAATATAGTGCATTTTAAACATATTGAAAATTTATTTTCTACCCCATTCCAGTTTTACGTTGTAAAGGCTAAAAATATTGACAAAAGATATTTGGACTCCCGCTGAGACAGATGTAGAACATACTATGAAAGAACACATAGACTACTAATTAACTTTTTTTTAATTCCGAGTGAATGTATTCGCGATTGACAGTAATATATAAAAACTCTCTTCTTTGTATTAACAATACCAGAACATAACAAAAAAAAATAAACTTGACATACTATAATAAAATAATGATTAACGTGCCTTACTTTTTATCATAAAATGGGAAAGGTCGCAAAGCCCGCATCTTATATCTCGGAGCCTCTTCACAGAGAGTATAAATATCATATTTATCGTTACAGCGGTGACAAAGTCGCCATTTTAAATGAGGGTCATTGGTCATCGAGACAGATAAATAAAATATTACAGAACAGCTATTGCTTGAACGCAAACTTATAGGTCTCAAAACATATAAGACCTTAGTAAAAACAATTAGACAATGTTTCAAATACATAGCTTAAACATACGTCTATCTTTTTATACCGTGACCATAAAAGAACATACCCATACTACGTGACCTTTTTCTTAGTTTTTTTCTAAGTTTTTTAAGACTGCATACATACTGAAATTACATTAGTAAATATTGTATTATGAAAAAGAACAACTTACGACTACGTTACAAAAACCTGAGCCACCCCCTCACCTTCCTAAACAGGTCACGTAGTATGGGTACGTTCCCTAACGCCCGGTGCTAATTTTTGACAAATCGTGGCTGAAAACATTATTATGCGGCTTGTGAAATGACTTCTTAACCAATAAATAATGAAATATTTATACCGTAAGTAGTGTGATGAAACATTTAACCAATTTGACGTCCATAATGTCCTGTATCGATCAAAGGACTAAGACACGTGGTTTACTAAACAGCGTCTAACTATAATTATGGGGCAACACAGATACTGTCCTGATGTCCTGCCTTAGAGTTGAAATGCCATCGCGGAAAGCTAGCAAAAGAAAGTTTATTTAAACTGCTATTATGCTTGTGTTTTTCAAAGAGAATGTAATATATCTAAATGTATTACATTAAATATTTCCGTCGTTGACTTATCGTTTCCTTGTCGTCTGTTGTAAAGGTATTAGCATTGATTACTTAGGCGTTGTTATTTGAGCTACCACGCTGGTTATTGGCAGTTATTGGAGCAGTGGCATTGTGAACGCGACCTCCGACATGCGAGTTTGTATGTTCCTGTATTTCGTGGTGGTAGCTGGTGCTGTTGGTGAGTTACCTTTATGTTATATATTACTTTTTTTTTTGTGATTTAATTTTGATTAAATATTTTATTAGCACGCCAATATCCATTCAATAAGTGCTTGGTCCTCATGTTATTTGCTTTTTATTGCATTTGCGTGAAAAAAGATTCTTCTTTTTCTGCAAACTATAAGATAAATATTCAAATAAAAATTAACATAAATATACATAAGATATAATCATAGTATCAATTTCAATCAAAATGAATGAGAAGTAATTCTGTCGTTTAATTTTTTTTGGATTAAATTATTCGCATCCATCTTATATTTAGAAATCTCCACTAAGTGAATATTTAGGCAACATTTAAATGACTCCGGGTTGTAAATACTTTTACAAAATTTCTCAATTAATTAATTATAACTAAATTAGCATGGCAATGGTAGTTTCAAACATTTTATATTATAATATTAATGGTTTGAAAATAAGGAAGGTGCAACGATAGTCATATTTTTACTTAATAAAATATTAATATATTTATGTTAATTTACTATTATTTCTTGTACCATTCTAACTAAGATCTAAATGCTAAGATATAGTTTGCGACAAAACACGAATGGCGAGATTCCAACCCTTAACCAGATGATCCTGTACCCTTAGCCATTATGCTATTGTCACACAACACTAGTTGTTGACAAACAATTCGATACAAGTTGCGACGTTTACGGACTGTTTTCCGTCTTTATGCGTTTCATCGAATTCAATTGTTCGCGGCCGCATTCACTTTGCTCTGTCGAACACAAACTTTATTAAACTGCCTGTTTATAGATCACCATTCATTATTACACGAATTTTTAAACAACGCGAGTTAACATAGAGATCCATGTTGTCAGTTCAGTTTACTTGAACATGGGCAAATAAGTCCCAAAATATGGGGTTAAATTATAAAAGAATTAGATTCTAAAAGTGGTAGACATCTTTTGAACGAATGGGTTGGCTAGATCGTAGTAATAACACGATCAAACAGAAGACGCATCAAGTGAAAGCGTGGTTCGTCTGGTGAATGTGTGCCATAGGACTTTTTTAGTTCTCTTTCCACCCTTTTCTTATAAGTATGGGAAGATAGATTGATTTAACGGATGAGGGAGCGCATAGATAGGGGAAATATTCTCTTTCTGTGCACCCAATTCTGCGTCGATTAATGGAAGGCAACGAATCTGCAATTATATATGTTTGTGGAGAGCGGTTGGTTCGCTATTTTGCCGAATTGAGGTGGCCGATCGCTCATTTGCCTTCTTATGATACCAAAAATTTACATTCGAATATTAAAGTGTAACTTTTACTATTAATTGTCGCATTTAACACATAAGTCTTTTGTTTTGTTTAATGTACACAATTGTTGAAAATTTATTTACCTAGCTGTATTAGTAGCCTTAGCGACAATATTGTCAAAATATGGATTTAAGAACAATACGACTCTCAGTATCATCATGTAATTTATTTTAACAAAACATACCGGTGATAAGGCGTCAGTGGCTCAGTGATTAAACTTGACTTGTAATCTGCAGATCCTGGGTTCGAATCCTTTCATGTACCAATGTGTTTTTTTATATATCTACATTTATCCGAGGTTCTTACGGTAAAGGAAAACATCGTGATGCAACCTGCACATAACCTGTGAAGTTAACTAATTCGCACTAAGCCAGCGTGGTTGACTATGGCCTTGTCACTCCTAATTTAGTGTAGTGTAGGCTCCGAGTCCATCTGTGGAGATGTGTAGTGAGCTGATGATGATATCTGTGATTATATAATTAGGCCGGTGAAGCTTTTCAATGCCTCTTCAAGGCAGTGACTAGTCACTCAGTCACTATAGTCATCTCACATAAACTCTTTGAATAGACAGAGACAGCGATCATACTAGTGTTATTACAATCGAACCCCATACAGCCTCAAGACGTTTGATGTATTACCGCGAAATTCCGCTTTCGTAACAATTCTCTGTCCCTTTCATTCATCATCTCCCTGTATTTATCCCACTCATTCTTTCATTCATTGTGATCTATGCTAAACGGCTAGACCCAACTGGAAATATGTGATTCGGATCTATAATCTTTTCAGAGTATTTTGCAATCAGTGTAGTTTTATTTCTTTTTTCATTAATTAAATGCTCGTTAATGCTCCGAAATTCACTTTGCTTTACGTAGGCGAGGGATGCGGCCCTAACGAAGTGTTCAAGCGGTGCGGACCGGCGTGCGAGCGCTCCTGCGAAATTCCCCTCCCGACTTGCACCCAGCAGTGCGTCGAAGGCTGCTTCTGTGCCGATGATAGACTTCGAGACGACAACGGACAATGTGTTGAGGTCTCCGAATGTCCTAGTAAGTATTCGAGGTATAATACATTTCTGTTGTCTTGGTAGACAATTTCACGCTAAACCGTTGACAGTAACAACAGTATGGGAACGAATATGACTTGCTTTGTGATCATTATTGTGTATATTACAATGTTTTACTTTAAACCACGACTATACCTTTACAAATTAACTCATGTTAATTCTCAGCTCAATCTAAGAAATGGAAAAGAAGTCTATTCAAGGACCCGTCATGCAAAGAGAATGAGGAGTTCAAACTATGCGAGACGTGCTACAAGAGCTGCGACAACCCGCAGCCGTCCTGCTCTGACCACTGCGAGCGCGGCTGCTTCTGCAAGGAGGGGCTCGTGCGGGACAGGGACGGAAAATGTGTCGCGCTCGATCAGTGCTCCCAGAACAACGGCAGTAAGTTAGGAGTTACATTGTAAAATATGACAGTGTACGAAGATGTGTATTGCTTTCTTCTTTTCTTATAAATAAAGTTCTATTATTTCACAACTTTTTTTATTTCTTCTTCCTATTTTTTTGACATCGCATTTCTAAGGTAAGTCATATGATAAGTTTAATTTATTATAGCATTGAAGTTAATCTGATTCAGCTTAGCTTAAAACTTTCTCGATCAGCGTCAGGACGCGCTCAGGCATGCGGACCGCACAAGGTGTTCGTGAAATGCCAAGTGTGCGAAAAATCATGCAGCAACCCGCAGCCACATTGTGCGGGACCTTGCCGTGCCGGCTGCTTCTGTGAAGAAGGCTACCTCAAGCACCCGAATGGACAGTGCGTCAAACCTCACGAATGTCCCAAAGGTAAGTACACCTAATTATGAATTTCTATTCTGAATAAAAGACCATAGAAATAAATCAGTAAAACTATGTTAAGAAGCGACTAACCTAACCTAACAATCGTGTTCTACGCGTTTGTACATAGAAGTGACGCTGATCGGCGGGCAGGAGCCGTCGGTAGAAGACTGCGGTTCGGACGAGGAGTTTCTGTCGTGCGGCTGGTGTGAGCCGAGTTGCTCGGAGCCTGCGCCACGTTGCCCTCCCGGCGTGTGCACGCGCGGTTGCCTCTGCCGCCCGCCGCTGCTGCGGCACTACAGCGGACAGTGCGTGCGCGAGACCGACTGTCTGCTGCGTAAGCACACATCGAAATACAGCGTCTGATTTACATTTCTCAATCATAATGCTAAACAATTTTGAGCCATAATTAGTTGGCTGTTCTATAACTGGGTCGCTAAGTTCTACGCTCTTCTTACTATTCTTTGGCACATTCTTATTTTGAACTTTTAACTAATCTTGTGCTTCAGGTCTTGCATGCTGAAGTGCTACCTGTCAGTAGTCGTTTATAGACAATAATTTCTTGTTTATCAGATAGTTGTCTAGATCCAAGCGAGGAATACGTGTGCCGGTACGGTTGCGAGCCGCGCTGCGACAACCGCACGTGTGTCGCGCGCGGCCGGCGCTGCGTGCTGGGCTGTCACTGCCGGCTCGGTCTGCGACGACACCGCGACGGGCGTTGCGTCAGCCCTGAGCAGTGCTCGCCCCGCACTCCACCCCGCCGTCTCCCCCACTCGATCGCCCTCAACAACCTCTTGAAGGATAAACTCAAGACAAACGACAACATACTTAAGATATGATTGTACACTACGGCACAAAGAGAGGATTTCTTTTCAAAAATTTCTTCATATTCTTTGACAATGCACTCACTTTGAAGCTGGCTAAGCTCGAGTCCGGAACCGCGATTTTTTTCTTACTTATGGAGATCGTCCATCGGTACCGTATATCGACTCAGGCTTATCCAGGTTCCACTGTATAGTGCTGTGATAGTAGATATTGTAAAAGTCAAAACAAGAAATGTTTTAAAGGTCACAATTTCATCGAAGTAAATTAACTTAGAAAAATTAAATAAATTCTTTATGGGAAAAATGTCAAAGCAATTAAACAAAACACTTGATTTCATTGCAACATTCTCTGCTAAATCGTTTAACTTTAAATTCAATTTATTTCCAAGTTTTTAATTTACAATGTGTGTAGTTAATTTTGTATTTGCATTAGTAATAAAACAGATTTTTATATACATCAATATATTTTATTTTACATAGGTTGTCTTTAACTCAACGCAACTATTCCGGAGTTCCTCAAAAATATAAAAAAGACAAAACAAAAAAAAAATATGACATATGAGATCTTTTACTTACTAAGATAAGAAAAAATTTACATATTTTTAATTATTGTGGAACTAAGAATTTCTCTTACGATTCATAAAAAAAAGTAGCGGAATAGGGCTTTATTGGTTTTCAACGAAATTAAATATAATACGGGCAACGGACATACTGACACTAAGATTAATAACAGACATTTAAAGATACAACACTACGGTACACATAGATAAAGGGATTGCAACGAAATTCACATTACAAAATTATAAATTAAACGTACCGTTTATCCATAATCCATTCCTGCCGCGTCCATTCCTGTCAGTATGGGAGCGCTTTGACCAATAGAGCCCCACCGCCTCGCTAAACTGTATCCAATTGACCAATAGTATCCACTGAGCCTATCGTAACACCGCACATTGTCAAATCTTATATTACATTTTTTTCATTTTGTTATAATTACACATGGCATATTCCTACCATTCAGACGGTCGCGGGGCGTTAGATAACAACGCTTTCAAATTCGCTACAAACTACATACCAAGAAAAATAACAGCGAATCAGAACAACTCAGATGCACCCGCGACCGCCGCGACCTGCGACCTGCGACATCCTTTAATCATAATGTCATAAGATCACATTTTTAAGGCAAACAACAATCTTTAAAGCTAAACCTTTGATGAAAGGGGGGTGGAGGAGGGGTACGGGCGAGAAACCGATAGCTAATATTTATCTTTTTAAAGTAAACGGACATCTCAAATGATCGTGTGTCTTTTGACAAGTCTAGAATTGACATGTTGGAGAAACACTTCGAGACAACTGTAAACGTAACGTGAAGCTAAACAACATATTTAGCATTTTACTGATAAGTTAAAAACAAACCAAATTTCGATTAATCCAAACATAGAAACGCGTTAACCGAATAAAAAAAAATAAACCTACATTTTTTTCAATCAATTTTGAATTTCGAATGAAGGAATACATTAATAAAACTAAATTACAAGCTAATTTATGAGAAACGAGTTACAAAATTCAAGAAATTGATTTAGATAAAAAAAGCGTTTAAAAACATGGAAGCATTCGTGTGACTGGACAGCCTTAACCCAAAAAAAAACTTACAATACAAAGCCTAAACGATCCCAAAGTAAATTCACAATAGTAGAGGGCGCCACCATAGACAAATAAACATCGACGATAAAAGCCAAACATTATGAAAATTTAAATAAGTACTGGACGCCATTTTGTCTCCAACGTTTAACAAAATGGTAGATATTTTAATAACTTCACTGATACGCGCTCTACTATTGTAAACGTCACCCCTCAACATTTTTTTTTTAATTTTTTAAAAATTTCCATTGCAACGATGCAATCACTTTCCGACAATTCTATGACGCTCCTAGCCTAGCCTATACCTAACTTATATAACCTTTCCTTATTAAAATCTTCAAGCCCATTGAAGATTGCCGAATAGTTAAAATCAATGTTAACACGCAATACCAAATAGAAAGAGCATGCTTTATTTAAAGTTTACTGGACGTCACCGAACGCGGGTTACTATAGTCTTATTAAACGGACATGGACAATTTATAGTAACTAGAATCCCCTATTTATTTATACAAATCCTGTGAGCTTTTAAATTAAAACCAAATAAATAATGCAATTAAAATCAATGGAAAGAAAATAGTTTAATAAAACTACCATTAAAAAATTAACAACCCCCTATTTTTTGAAACGTAAAAAACGTAATATCGTTCATAAAAAAATCCAACTTTTTAATATTTTCTCATTTTGTCGTATACCTTAGTTTCTTTTTCTTAACAGAAAATCATAGCGACAATGAATTTTGAAATGGACTTCAAAAAAATCTGCCAACACACTAAGGTTTCGTGGGGATATTTTTTAATTTAGATGTAAGATTAACAAAATGATTTTGACAAAATCTTAGACAGTGAAAATATTTTACATATAAGTCACGGAATTAAAATGATTCAATTTAGTATATATTTAGTAATAGGTACGAATAATTCATAAATAATAAAAAAAATAATTATAATTAATTAATAAATAAATTAAATACATATTATAGTCCGTATAAATAAATTAAATAAAATAAAAAATAATTTTGTTCATATAAATGTCTAAATAATTTTTCAATCAAACAATTCTAATTTATGTATATTTTTCACATGCATTTTTTACTCATGAATTACGATAAAAAATTTTGTACTTTTTTATAAAAATTAATAAACTTTAATTGGGCTTTTAGATTTTAATGCTATACAGACCTTCCACATATGAACGCAAATTTAAATAAAATGCCTAAAAAAAAATTCTCGCCTAAAATAATCGCTGAATTAAACTAACGAAATTAAAAAGAAACTCATAATGGGCACATTTTCATTTTACATTGCAGATGATAAATTTATTTTTAATTGAACTTCCAAAGAGGTTTTAATTGAAAATGAATTATTTATTTTTCCGTATAACAGATAAATTACATGTCCTTACATTTTGTCAATCGATGCTACGTCAAAATGGATCGGTTTAATGATTGAAGATGACGATGAAAGGCGAAAATGACGGTGATGATATCAAAAATTGTAACGATTATGGCGGTGAAGATGATAAAGACGCAAGCATCGGGTGAACAAAACATTCCATATTGATTTTGCTTACAAAATTGACATAAACAATCTTTGGATTTCAATTAAAAAATTGAATTTAAAAAAAAATAGCAAATATTTTAATTATTAAATTTTCGATTTTTTTTTACGACTGCATGCATATATTAAAATTGGCAATTCAAAATGAATGAGAAATGAATTTATGAATAATTTAGTGATAAACAATCCAAACCATTTCTTGCACTTGCAAAAACTTTGTCAGTCAACTAGCAGCTTTGAAACGCGCGTGATTGTATTATTTTTATAGAGTATTATGACAATATTAATTTTTTTGTATAGTCAGATAATTACGTCAATACGATGCAATAGGCCCGTGGTGGGATAATCTGCCTCGCCTACCGGCATACATTTCTTTAAAGGTGGGTTTCCACTGTGCGTGAGTCTACGGACGGACTTAGACAATTTTCAGTTGCATCATGCAAGTCTGTCAGTACAATCACGAACTGTGGAAACCCACCTTAAAACATCACAATAGAAAAGATTTACTTATATATAAAAAAAAACATAGCAATTACAAGTATCGTAAAAGTAAAAATTCCGTTTCATGGAACACTAAAACACAAAATTAGTAAAGAAAAAAAAAATTCACACGTAATTGTGAAAATAAATAAACGATCTCCATATGGAAATCTATATAAATATATATTTTTTGGTTGGATAAATGTATGATGTGATTGTTTTGTACTATAATCAATCGCATATCCATACATACACCGCAACATATGACCAGAACAGGACTTCCCAAGTGTGGGTCGCGGCCCACTGGTGGGTGGCGGCCCACTGGTGGGTCGCGAAACATAAAACCGGCTAACAACCTTTTAAAGACTGTCAATTGAATTCAGGCTGTCAGTTTTTCTTAAATGAATCAAAGTATAATTTAGTAACCTCTTGACTTGAAGAAACTTAGTATAGTCAGCAAAACAATTTTTTAATTATTTAGTATTAATAATATTTACCTTCTTGCAATCAAAGTTTCTTACAAATACATAAACAATCGAAACTAGAAAGTGAGCTTTGAATCAGTGTCCGGACAGCTACTTCCATGAGCGAGAAACTCGGATTAGAGCCTTATACTCTGTTAGAAGTTATAATCCAGGTTCAAGGTCAGATAAAATTTCATAATACCTAATAGTCATATTTGGTGGTGTAAGTATAAAAATGCAATATTATGAAATGGGTCGCCTTCAATTGAAAAGACAAGATGGAAAGTTATTAGTATGAAGGATGTTTCAGTGAAAATTGAACGGCAGCACCTAAAATATATCAAATTATTAAAATTCCTACAAGTCAAAGTAAAATCAATTTTATAAACAAATTTTTGATTCAAAAACAAGTCCATATCGTAACATGGGTCTCATTTAAAATGGTTTAGTTTCAGTTGAAAAAAAATTACAACGAAACTTTTTTGAAGCCTGTACTTATACTCAAACAAATTATACAATAGACATGTATTATTAGGGTGCGTTTCCACTGTCGAAAACAAGAGAAACGTCAATATATACTTTTGCTGATATCTGGATAGTTAAAAATCACATTTATATTGTTTTTATTCATACTAATTGGTTACGAATAATTTTAATATTTTTAAAATATAATTTAGACTCATACTTTTTGACAATCTGTAAAATTGAATGAAAGTTAAAAAAAAATCATGACAAATATTTTCAAAACATCCCTTACACACCACACCGCACTTGATTTCGACCCCTTCCATATTTTACAACTTTAAAAATAATTTAAACAAAACTTACGTAAAAAAATACATATGTTTATTTCAAAAATTGAAAACTTTTTACACCAGTAAAAAGTTTTTTATCAGAATCTAATACAGTAAAGTTAAAAAAAAATTGTGGCATAGTGTTAAAGACAATCCTAATATAACATAGTAAGATATAAGCACAAAGTTGAATAGATCAAGTGCAATTTAACACATACATTTTAATCCACATACAATCTCATACAACTCTCACCACTCATACTCTTCCATACATAAAGTTTCTACTCATATTTTTATTAGATTTTATAACTGAAATACAATTTTTAATATTTAAAAGTAATTACAAATTGATTCATAAAAATATTCCTTTCTAAATTTATTAAACAATATCTTTAAAAGAGTGTAATTAAGTACAGGCTTCGTATAAGAACCCACGTCTCTATTTCATAGAATTAAAAAAAGAAATAGTATATATATACAACTAAAGAAACACATAGCTTGTTGAAAGTTACCTGAGAATAATATTCCAAGTTTGACAAACTGGCCAAAAGTTAACTAAAAAATATCATTTTATAAAAAAAAGTAGGACGGGCATATTATTTAAACTCATTTTTGTTTAACAACGACACATAAATACTTCTAATTTTGTTATTCTTAATGAAATAATCAACAAAATCATATCTTCTTATGTTAAATTATAGTAAAAACCTCCAACTTTATTGAGAAACTGAACTAAAGCGAGTACCTCAAGTATCGCCAGAAACTCAACTAAATCGTGAAAGTTAACTATAGTGAATAACTCAACTACACTGAGAAACTCAACTAAAGCGAGAAACTCAATTAGTGTGTTTTAAGAAAACTTTTATTAGTAAAAAAGCACGATTTTCATATTAAATTTTGATACATAAATAAGTTTAAATAATACACGACCACTATAAAAAGTTGAGAAATAGTTCCCATATAGCAATCCGGAACGATCGTCACTGTTTGTCACAATAATACTTTAATATAAAAGGTATATCGGTGTAGTACACAATGGTACATTTTAAACTCAAAAACAGGTTATGTTACTGTATGTTTCCGCTATGGAAACGAGAATGAGGTATTAATATATTTTAAATGAAGATATAGACAGTTGAAAAACGCAATAAAAAACATATCAGCGACAACATTATATGCTTTATAATATATAATTTTAAAATCAGCTTTATTATATATAATTATAATAATCACACTTCACTAACTCTTATATATTTTAATAAAATCTAGTTAGCAATATTTAATTTTAATAACATCTAAGTAAAATGTAAACATGTGACATTGTGTGACATGTGAGATGACAGTGGCGATCGTACCGGAATAAATACGTAGAGTAAAAAAATATCATAATAGAAACAATTCAATGTACTTATCAGTCATAAGATCTAATTATATTTTAGACAGGGGCGTTGTGACCACACTAACAGGACAGTCGGCCGACAACTCAACTCTATCTCTATCTGATTACACTTTCATTACACTTCAAATTGATCCAAATTGATTTAATAAAAAAAATACATACTGTAAGTTAAAAAATGTCAATGTAACTCATTAAATTATTAAAACTTATATAAAAACGGCTAAACACTCACAGATATTCGTCAGGTGGCGGCACCGACAGTGAGCGACGGGTCGTATCCGCGAATACCAATCCCACTGACCCTGTTGAAGGGCACCCGATGGGTTCGAAACTAGTCGGTGCCGGCACCGGACGAATAAGAGTCAGTGTTTTGCCGTTTTTATATCTGTTTGTAACTCATTAAATTGAATTTGATTAAATTAAAATATAATTCTGAATATAATTTTATGTGATGTAAAACTCTTTACTTTATCCGACTCGAAGGACCAAATGTGGTATAAACTTTGAAATTTAACAGAACAAAAATATTTTGTTCAACTTTCCAAGTACCAAACACTGAATAGATCAAGTGTACTGAAAGTGAAAACATTAAGAGCTCAACACAACTCACTTCTTCCATACAACACTCCATATTATCACATTTCTTTTTTTTTCCAGATAAAAAAAGATCTTCGACGTCCAACATCCGCCTGGGCAATGGCACAACCCGCGTTATTATTTTTATTATATTCATATATCTACACATTTTAGACACACATAGAACACTACGAGTTTGTAAAGTCACTAGGGTAAAGGCTTCAAGGGAAAATAGTCTTTACGACACCGAATTAGAGTTCAAGCCTTTGCCATATAGTGGAGGGGAGAGTAAAGCGGTTTTTATAGAAGTGGTGAGCCCCACGTGCCCCACGTGCCCCACGCACCCCACGTGCCACACTCACAAGTACGTGGATTCACCTGAAAATGAAGAAACCCATTTAAGCGCCATTGAATGATGTGCCCTAAACATTCATTTGTTTGAGTTATTTCTCCATCAAAAAAAACCGTTTTTTTTTAAATAATTGATAATTATACTGCATGCAATAACTCAAACAAACTCTTTTTTATTTAGTTATAATTTTAAACGCCCGTAATTGTAACATACATTCTAAGTACTACAAATAATGTTCTCTAGAACTAGTTTGAAACAAGTAATTTTCAAGGAATTTTTTTTATGAGTTTTTCAATTTTTATAACATTAAGGTTAGTCATTTTTTTATCTTATTTTATACAAAAAAATTATGGAAATATCTTCAATGATTATTTGAAACAAAACTGTTTTTAGTTTTTTTTATAAAATATTAACAGATTTTTATTTTTTTTAATTTACTAATACAATAGTCGAATGGCGGGATTCGACACCGACCACCTGATCGGAAATCAGTACCCTTAACCTTAATATTCCAGAGAACATTACTTACGAAAAAAAAAGCAAATTTAAAAAATAAAAAAGGCGTTTAAAATCAATAAGTGGCATGTGTGATGTGCGATGCAAGCGGGCGACATAGAGCGTGATGTTAGCGTGTGACGTGACATATTGTAAGGGTTGAACCAACTTCACCTTTTTTACAAACTTTGTCTGGTGACAGTTCGTCTGACAGTTGACGTCTGACAACCCTGTCATTTTCATTACAAATGGTAGAATTTTTAAACGCAATTTTAATATAATTTAGACATTGATTTTGATACAACCCTTAATTAAAGAGCAAGGAATCAATTATCAAAGCAACATTTTATACACATAACACACCCCACGAAAGAAAAAAACAAATATTAACAAAAAATGAATTTTCTACCATAAAAATGACAAACAGATATATATACAGTAAAAAATAATTTATCATCTGTCTCTCATTTAATGATTGGTAAAAACAAGAATGCTAGAACAAAAAGACATGCACACAAAACATAAAACATACACAAAAAAAACATTAAAATTTTAATATGAGGACACAATACAAATTATAAACACATTAGTATAGGAAGTATATTACATTGAGGGGGGGGCGACAAGCGGTGAATGAAATAAAAAAAAAGTAAAGCATTATGTATGACGACTCGTGTTATATGTTTAATACAGGTGTGACTAAATCCTTTATGACAAAATTTAATTTAATTAAAAAAAATGATTTTTTTCGCAAAAGGAATTTTCATATTTTTTCACATACTGTATATTATATTGTGTGATTTTAAATGAATGGTGAAATGTCCTAAATGTTATATATTAAATTGTATGTACAGAAAATTACTATTTGTTATAGAAATGTGTAATTTGAAAAAATCAATATAACAGGGATGGCAAACCACCGGTACGCGATACAATAATTTGGGCACGTCTCTTAAACTAAAACTAGCACGAAACAAGACAAAACTCGAGTGATCCTTGCTCTAGAAAATGTGTCAAATAATCAGAAAATCGAAAAAAGTGTCAGTTTGATGCCACTTCTATGCCCTCATAAAACTATTCAGATATAGAAAAATAACACTTTAATACGTAAAAGTTTGCCACCCCTGGCCTATAATTATTCGAGTTATTTCTAAATATTATACATGTTAACAAATGTTGTATGACAAGTGACAAATGTATTACTAGTACATGTATATACATGGTGTGTATGTATGTATGTGTGTATGTATGTATATATTTACGTGTGCGGCGCGTCGTCGGGGGACAGCTGGCGGTAGCGGCCGACGCGCTCGCAGCCCGGCCCTGCCACCACCCACAAGTTAACAACCCACACCACAACGACACAATACTGTACAATTCCACTAACGATAAACTAATATAAAACTCAATTTTAAAAAAAAACCCTTCGTCGGGTAAATTTATTGCAATAAAAATGTTTCGCCAGTGGAATTGCACTGTAACAACAGGACTCATACAAGCCACGTTCTAATTCCTATCGGTTCCAAATATGGCCACACTATATGCTCTATCAAATTAAGATCTAAATTTTGTAAACATATCAACTTTGCTTATTTTTGATATACTGATAAGTGCTTTTATTACAATTATTTAGCAAAAATACGATATAGTTTACAATATTTAGGTCTATTAAAATTATAAACCCATATATGGATGTATTAATCGCCAAAACAAGTAAATCGATTTTATTTTTTTATATTATAAGGTGGTAAGCGAGCGAGCAGCCACCTGAAATTGCTGAAATAGGGAAGTGACAGTTGCCCATAGACATACGCAATTGCATATGCATTGTCTACCTTTAATCTACGGAGGAGAGGATGCACAGAGAGAAAATATTTTCCCTTTCCATGCATCCTCTCATCCGGAAAGTCCACTTACACTTCCCATCCTTTCCTTATAAGACAAAGAGTGGGAAGAGAAAGAGGACTAAATTAGGCCTCCGGGACGCACACTCATCAGACTGTACGCGGAATTGCTTCCACTGGACGCCTGTCTTCTGTGTGGTCGTGGTATTTCACCGGGCGAAGCGGGACAATTCGTGTGAAGATGTTAAAGCGGGCTCTACCACTGTTAATTATAATATTAATTAAAGTTTTATTTCTGAATTTCAACAGTTATTCAAATTGGCTAATCAAACATCCATATATATATGAAATTATGAGCCATCACTTAAGATGTATGTAATATGATTTTCTAGCAATAGCCAGGATTTATTGTTTTTCGAAGATTGGCTTTAAAGAGAAGAAAACTAGACTTAGTAGGGCCTTGCCTTTGTAAGATTAGACAAAGAAATCTGTCATCCACACAAAAAGAACGTATTAGGCAAACAAGCTTATGTCATCCCTTACGTTAATTATTTTCAAAGGTATTTAATTGAAAATAATATTATAATAATTACTAAAGCGTGTTCTCTTTCACCATACATACAAATTCACCAAAAAGATGATACGAGTGGAAATTTTTTAGTGAACGAAGTTTGTAATTTTTGTAACTTATAGAAAATAGTCTAAGCTAGGGCGCAAAACCTAAGAATCCATTACAATGTATGGATAAAAGCTAAATTTTTCTCTTATTCAAATAAATAATTCGAATAAATCATTAAAATATATTTATAATATTAGATAAAACATTATATACAGTCTTCAGTCTTATGTACTACTGAAATTGTGAAATTTTTTAATTAATAAAGAATTTTTACTTTTATCCTCATGAAATTGAAATCCGATTGTCTCTCAAACATCTTCAATAGTTTGTGTCATAAATGTTTTATTCTAGACTTCAATTTTATTCTCATGTCCTAGATAAATTAGTTCTTAGTATATTAGCTATTGGTTGTAGAGATCATCAGTACGGATATTGCCCGATACCCCATTTCATAAATTTAACAGCTTAGTACCTAACAACAATTATTATTTAATATTCTTATAAACTAAACGTCACATAAGTCAGTATTAAATTTGATAAAACATAGCTCATTTGTGTTTCATACACTTAGACCAACTACCAACAAATAAGCCGAGATATATTTTTCACTTATTCAACACAAAAAAATAATTGCATGCATTTTAGAAAATATCAATAATAATTATGTATTCCATTTCATAATTTGAAAATAAAAATCAAATATTTAATTTTCTTGTCTATGATCTCAATAAAATTGTCTATAGCTAATGAAATGTCAAACTGACACTGACAGATGTGACATAACCTTGTATTTACGTACGCAGTCCGTATGCAATATTTATTAACTATTCGAGCGGCTGGCACACCAACAAAAACATTCAGCTCATCTAAATGGACACCATATTCCTTCGCCGCAGACGACTGTAAGAAAATACTCCTTTTTTAAAGCGAGAAGCTTTTGTGACGTTGAATTATTACTGTGTAAGGTTTTACCACCATTAAAAAGTAATTACAAAATTAGATGAATCGGTGCCTGCACCAGAACGATGACAATCACAATAATAACTCAACATCACAAATGATAACACTACGAGTCGTCTCTATGCTTTTTTTTCCTATTGTCGGAGAACTTGGTGAAGCCCCGCCAGGAGGCCCTCACGTCGCCCAGGGAGAGGCGGGGCCTTGCGGCGGTGACGGAGTCCGCGATGGCGTGGTCGGAGCACACCTTGGGCAGCTTGGCGCCGGGCGCGGCGAGGGCCTCGGGGGCGCAGGGCGCGAGGGCCTCGGGGACCTTGGGGGCCTCCGGGGCGCAGGTCTCGAGGTGGGGGGAGGGCGGGGTCTCACCGGAGTCCCAGTGGCCGTCGGTCTCGGTGTCGGGCTCGGAGCCGGAGGAGGAGGAGGAGTACTGCGGGGAGGGCGCGCGCCCGCAGTGACCGCTGAACGTCGACGACGACGGCTGCTTCTGAACTATCAGTTCCACCTGAAAATCATATTTATACCTACATTTTAGTACTATTTAAAATTAAATAATTTTATTAACAAAAACATTTCTATTCTTCATCAAAAAATAACATATTGTATCAAAAAGTATGAGATATACCTTAAAATCGGAGCTATAGAGTTTGTGTTGTTTGTCCTTGTGCGCGTCGTCCAGCTGCCACTTGTTCAGCGTCAGCTTGAACGTCTCCAAGTTCGGACCTAAGTATCATGCAATGGTCATATTTATACCACAGTAAAAAAAAATGTAATAAGCGGGTGTGAAGGGTAAAAGGTTTAGAATAGGGCCTCCGGCAGACATTCATCAGAGAGTGAGAAAAATAATGTTGTTTTTGTACTTCTATTGTGTTAGTCTTCTATTTGGTTGTGATATTGCACGGGGTCCAGCGGGTGAAATGTTTATAGCAGGAGGTATGAGTGGTACTGACTGTCGTCGGGCGGAGGCACGCGCACTGCGCCGACGGCCGCGGCCACAAAGAAGGTGTTGATCCAGAAGTGGAAGAGTTTGTCGCGGCGCATCATCTTGGGCTTCCAGTGCAGCTCGAGGCGCACGTCGCCCCGCAGCGGCGTGCAGTGCGCGACCGGCACGCGCACGCACGACGCCGCCTTGCGCACCTCCTGGCTGCCCAGGGACGTCTGCAACACACACCCACGCACCATGTTACTATGCGGTCATTATACCGTATTCTTTTACTCACTATTTACTCATTGGATTAAAAGCGTAAGCAACGAACTTTTATATTACACAAGATCAAATTGTGACTCTAAGGATGATTTCAAGCACAGTATTTCAGTAATAGCAAACATAAATATTAAAACGCTATTGCCAGCAGAATTTTTTCTTTGACCAAATTTCAAATAAGCTATAAATAATATTTGTCAAAATGTGAAATGAGTACTGTCACAGACTTTTTGTGTATGTACAGTCAGCGTCATATAGATCGTAACAGACAAGATATGCAAATATATAGGTACATCAAAAGTAATCAATTATATCGGTACAACAAAAGTCCTCAAAATAATAGATACATTCACCCTGCTCAAATACATCGGTACATACACAGCGTCAAATATATGAGTACATGCAAGATGCTCATAAATATCGTAGCAGCCACAGCGTCATAAGTAACGAAGCAGTCAAGGTGCGCAAAAATATCGGTACATTTGACAAAATTGAACTCTATCTCTATATACTTGTGATACAATTTGGAATAAACTACTTCTGTTACATTCATTTGACACTTTGCATCAAACCATTTTTCAAAATTTACTAAAAGTGTTCGACGTGGATGACAGATATTAGGTAGATAAAACCAACATCAAATTTAAGTTTGTCATCATATATGCTAGTTTGGTCTCGTGGCCTTACCGTTCGCCGCCGTTGGTACGTAAGTTCGGCGGTTCAAATCCCAAGCAACTATTTTTTTTTTTTGATATTTTAACTTTTTAATTTTAATATCGAAGCACATGTAATTAAACTCTATCGCCGTAGTTATTAGGTACTTTTTGATATTGCCTTGGACTGAGTTTGACCGTTAAAGTACTTTTCTATTTCAAACAAAAATGAAGGAGATAAAGCGATGCTATTGACATGTAATTTGTTTATTACTCATGTTTGTTAAATTTGTACCGGTAAAAATAACACTTTTACTTTTACCTTTTACTGATACTGATTATTTAAGAAACAAAGAAAAAAAACTGAATGTCAATATCCAAACTACATCAAATTTTTGGTCGATTGCAATAAACATTCCAGTGTGCGTGGGCGCGCACACATATGTAGATAACAATTGTACGTATAGTTTCCGCGCGTACCATTCTTAAAACCCGCAAAGACAATCCACGCTCCGCCCACTCACTTCACCGGCGATGGTCTGACCTAATTGTTGTTAACTTTATTTAAATTTCTTTCTACCCGACAGCGAAAATTATAAAAAAAAATTGTCGAGCAAAATTTTACATTACCAAATTTTTACTGGTTATGAAAACATAACCCCGTGATTGATAAAATGAAAAAAAAGTAGTCTGAGATTCGAACCGGTAAACTTACATATTACGGCAAACATACTAGAATACTGCGCCAAACTAGTATATATTGTGACAAGGCAAAATTTGATATTAGTTATTACTTATCTGTCATATTCGGCGTGACAAACTTTTATAATATATTTAAGCGTTATGACAGGAGAAGAAAAATATTGGGTTGCCCAGTAAGTTCGTGCCGCTTTATAAGGAAAATTGAAACCCTGTTCTCTTAAATTTTTGGAAATGTTTTTAAATTATATTGGTACGACTCTATACCTAAAACGTCTTTTATTTTTGGCTAAAATTTTAAAAATTAGTTTTTATCTCAACCAATGAAATGAAATTATTCACAATATAGAAATTTTTGTGACGTTTGATAATGGTGGAAATCCGAAAATGAATCCACTTCAGCTACAGTCTATTGTAAGCTTTATATCGAAAATCAGAACGAACTTTCCGGACAACCTATAATGTTAATACAAAGTGTCAAATGAATGTAACAGAAGTAGTTTATTCCAAATTGTATCACAAGTATATAGAGATAGAGTTCAATTTTGTCAAATGTACCGATATTTTTGCGCACCTTGACTGCTTCGTTACTTATGACGCTGTGGCTGCTACGATATTTATGAGCATCTTGCATGTACTCATATATTTGACGCTGTGTATGTACCGATGTATTTGAGCAGGGTGAATGTATCTATTATTTTGAGGACTTTTGTTGTACCGATATAATTGATTACTTTTGATGTACCTATATATTTGCATATCTTGTCTGTGACGATCTATATGACGCTGACTGTATGTGTGCGGGTGTGCATGTGTGTGCATGTGTGTGCATGCGTGTGTATGATGTGTGACCTTGAAGGGCGGGTCGAGCTGGGTGGCGCTGAGCTCGAGCGTGCACTGCGCGCCGTTGAGCGTGGGCGGCGGACTGAGCAGCAGCTCGCGCACGTGCAGCTTGGTGGCGGAGTACTGCAGCCCCGAGCGCACCAGCGCCGCGTAGTACTCCACGTAGCGCCGCTGCGACGGTATCGTCACGCCTGCAAAACATACACGCAAACACTTACAACATATCCATTGTCCAAAACTTCTTTATCAATGTCTGTATCATTTATCCTCTTTTCAAATACACGGCGTAGACTTAGTATGAGAAATCTACACTGAGCGAACGGTTACCATTAAACCACTCTGAGTGCGACAATACAATTTTTTTTATACTTATAATATTCGATATTGCAAAATCTAAAACTGTTACAGTTACCCTTTTCGTCGTACGTCCGCTCTGTGCCGTAGAACTTGAGCGCCTCATCCGCGGTCGCCTTCTGTCCGCTGTACAGCAGATAGCAGCATACCATCGTGCCTGGAATTATACCATCACATACGTCAACATATGACCTTGAGTTTTCACTATTTCTACGTGTATTTTTGCAATGAAATCTTACAGTAACATAACTATACATACAAAAAAATATCACATTATCTCTTTCTTCGAAAAAAAATGACACTCAACGAATTAAAACGTATTTAAATCTGTTTATATATAAATTAATGTAATCTGAGACATTCCTATATTTTAAAATAAACTAAATATTCATTAAATCGTTATACAAAAAGGAAAAACCTCATAATTCTATATATAATATTGTTTCATATCGTTTATATTCAAAAATTTTTTATGAGCTCATATTATTTTGATGATGCTTTTAGACAAATTATAAAAATAGTTATTCTCAAGGCTAAAATAAATTCAATATAAATATTTTTTACATACAACTAACATTCATATTAAGACTAATCTTACTAATATTATAAAAGCGAATATTTGGATGGATGGATGTATGTTAGAAGGTATCTGCAGAACAGATCTCGATTAAATTTGGAATGGCATGTAGAACATAGTATGGAAGAACACATAGGCTACTATTTTTTTTTAATTTTTCGCGGGCAACTGATTATTTTTTATTTTAATTCAAGCCACTTTACAGTATGTGTTTTTGCTATTTCACGATAGAGATTACAAATATTTAAATGTTAAATAATAAAAATACAACACATAAATAAAAATGTAATAAACAGATAATTTTCGATTTCTTATTTAAATATAAAATTCTAACGTCAGTGAAAATATTAGATATTCATAGGAAGGAAACTAGAATTTTTATTCGAGCCTAGATTCATACATTAACGGGGCTGATGAACTTTAAACATTTCAGCATTGTCATAAGACTTCATTAGCATATTGTGTGTTTTACGACCAAAGAGAAACATCTTTACAATCTATGCATATTCATCTGGCACATTCATAGACAAACTTTTTTATATGCATTTCATTTCACTATGGCACCGAAATTAATTTAACTGGGGACCTGACGTTTCTTTTTTTTATATCCAAACATGGCGGCTATTAAATTACACGTTTTATTTCAGTATAATAGTTTTAGCGACATATCTGCGTAACACTACCATAGTTGTAAAGAAATATTGAAAGATATTACCCACAGGAGTTCGTGTTTGGGAAAAAAACGACCAAGTTTAATAAATTTCTTAAGGAATCGTGAGAAAAGGGCATGTATTTTAGTGAAATGGCCAACCTTTTTGCCCTCAATGTTTCCTTTCATATCGCATTTTTACGCCCCTTCGTCGGTCTCAGGACGAGGCGATTTCAAAAGGGACCCATTTTTTTTCTTCGACCGAAATTTACGAGGAACAGCGTGAAAGTCGGTGCAGTAATTCGGCCAATTATGGGTCGTAAAGAAATTTCGCAATTACGGCGTGGATCGCGGTTTGGGGGTTCCTTTTTGTTCGGTTCACTACAATGGGGGGGTCGTGCGGTGGGCTACGTGTAATTTCGGCGCGGTCTTTGTTGCCGGGCGCTCCCAAACGTATCACGTTACGTTCGCATTAAGTTGATTGTTGCTAATGACGTAATAACGAATAAATTCAGAGTACGGTACGCAAAACAAAACTGTTTGAAACAGATATTTGAATCTCATTCATTGTTAGTATACTTCAAACGCAAATGTGACTTTAAACAGAGTGGAGAGGATAGATCCTTTTAGTTAAATCTCGGCAGGCAACAGTTGCAGTATATTTCAAAATGTTATCAATAACACAAATGAGATGCCATAAACTTTAACCTCTCATACAACAAACGTTCCATTTCGCACAATACTAGTGTATATTAGCATATAATCTAAAATCGATGGCAGTTCATTCGTCTGTGAAAGGAAACTGACATGACAAAGTTGGCGACGTTTATGCATTATGTGATTATTCCAAGCGATTTTGTGACAACATATCTCTTATAGAATCGTGCCATATATTTAATATATTCTTTTGAGAACTCGCACTATGAGAGAATCTATTCTTCGACCGCTACACGTGTATGCAGACACTATATTTTATCTCACGTAAAGCTTCAGACACACTAGAATGCTTTACAAATTTCAAAAATATTTGTAATTTATTTGAATCACATCATTTATAATTACGCATTTCCTTTGACCATTTTATTCTTTTAAAACGTATTTGAAGAAGAGTCGAGAAATTTTTGATTAGTAAAAATTGGCAACCGAGGAAACGGCCACTTAAATTCCCTAAAAACCGCCAAAAAGAATATGGTTTGTCTGTAATTGATAAACAGAGAAGGGGACTTAAAGGATGGATATTTCTCCTTTTGCGTCCCCTCCCTGATAAATCAACTTTCCTTTCACATACCTTGTAAAAATAAGGTGGAAAGAAGAAGGGAACTAAGATAAGGTATCCGGCATGGACATTCACTAGGCGAAACGCGAAATGACTCCCACATCACGGTCTTCTGTGTGGTCGTAAAATATCACTTGTCAAGCGGTCCATTCGTGCAAAAGATTTTTAATACTGGCCACTTTGTATAGCAGTCAACGATTAAAACTAACTTATTACGAATAAAAAAAACGTTTATATTTTAATAATATTTTATCAACGCTGCATGCCTGTGATTTAATAAATTGTAACACGCGACTGCTCCAGTGTGTCGAGAGTTTTAAGCCGTACGGGTCAGTAACACGATAATACGAATGAAAACTTGTTGCTATGAGCTTCTAAATCAGCCAAATCATAATACATTTTTTGTCGACAAGTGTTGGGGTACGATCGAGACTCTCAGAATATTCGACGAATAGAGTCACAAGAACTCTCTTCGTTCTCATAGTAGCCCGTGCCTACTCAAATAGTTTATTATTTTTATTTTTAACTGTACACGTCCGTCTCACACGATGTCCGGAATTACTTTGGTAGAATGGCATCACTTCCGCTCGTTTATCTTATAAACAAATCGTTACAATAAACAATACGCCGTCCCACTGAGAAATACTTTGTCCGTGATTAATGAGAGGCTCAGAGAGGCAGATAATCTGCTCTTATGTGTTTACTAAGACTATGTACACCAATATGTTGCGGTGCAAAATATATGAACGAAAACTAGTATATAATAAAAAAACTAAAGAGCAGTTTTTCACGAATTTTCACCATTGAAACACGTGTACAGTCAGCTACATAACTATGTATACACTTAAAAACTTTAGAAACTAGTATAGGTCTTCGGTTTCAAAGATACGTAAGCACGAATTCGTCATAACATATTATAGTTGGAAACTTACGGACGAATGTATACATACATATTTTTAAGCCGAAGGCGTATACTAGTTTTTGAAGCTTTTTAAATGGCTACTTTTTATGCAGCTGACTGTACATAAACATAGTTTGGTTCCTTTCATTATGATACAAAAAACAAAATTAACAAGATGGTTCTGTAAAGATCCATGTGCAGTGAAAATTCACAGTCAATCGGAATTTTCGTTTTCAAATTCCTATATCCCACCTGTCCGTCCCTTGCCCGCTTTGCAGTGCACGACGGCTACGTTCCTGGGATCCTGGCTGAGCCACTTGTGCACATCCTCACAGAACGGCTGGATGAGCGCGATCTTCGGCGGCGCGTGATCCTCAAACGCGTACCTCACCACCTGCAAACAAAAAGTTACATTATAAAAACTTCGCCCATTTACTTTTAAACTTAATTTCATAAAGGAACGAGACAAGAAACAACCAATGTATTATATTTCTACTATCACTCAATGAATAGATTTTGTTTTGTTTTGGTATACAGTATGTTACATATTTCTGTATTGTTTTATTACAAAAACTGTCCAAACACTGGCTCATGATATACTTCAGGAAATAAAGAAACACACCACAAAACAGTAAGATAGAAATTACTCACAATTCTGGAATCTTTGCCATAGACCGGAAAAATCGGTAAACGAATCGTAAACAATATTTATAAGAATGCAAATTGCCGTGAGAAAATATTTGCGAGTTAACCCCACCGGAAGTATTAAGTGCGGACCGGACGGACGGACTACAAGTTATCTGATACTTGTGGCTCAATTAAAAAAAAGTTTTTCATATATTTAGCCCTTTTTACATTGATCGACAACCTCGGTGGTTACGAAAAAAAATCGAAAGTACAAGACCGTTAATCTTCAGAAATGATTCAGCATCTGTTAGCTTTTAGTGGTCTATAATTCGGTTAAAGTGTACTCATATCCATATTCTGATTGCGTAGTGTAAAACTGATGAAATCTACATTGTTCTTCATCATTCTACATGTTCAAAATTATAAATAATTGTTTATTATCATGTCTCACGAAAGTTTGAATAATTTAATAAGTTTTTTTAATTTTGTGTCTTTCCTTGGCTCCTGAAACACAGGGCTTTGCCCTAGTTTAAGAACCAAGGCTGCCACACAATTGTATATACTAGTGTCACAATAAAGCATTTATTTATTATTTCTTTATTTCACGGCTTGGAGAGAAACTCTACGTCCATATAGTTCAATTCAATCAATAAAGAACATATACAAAAATATCTTCTTATAATCAACTAATCAAACGAAAGAGAAATAATTCAGAGAATGTAATAACAATTTCCTTTCATAAATTATCCTCAATATCTCAAAGGTAAGGTTCATTAAATAAAATCGCATTCGCTTTATTCATAATACAGTTCATTAGGACAAAATATATGAATAAAGCGCGTGCCCACGCAGCGACAAACTAATTTATAATTCATTACGCCGCAGCCCGTACAGGGGCTTCCAAAGATTGATTCAACATCCCCCCAACCCATACCCACCCTCCCACAAGCCCACCATATTAAAGCGAGGGGTGTGTGGAAACCTAAAAATAAGTATTTCATTGATTTTACATATATTATTCAGGCTTCTTTAATTCTAAGACAGAAAATATAACTAACCGTTATAGGTTTAGTATACAAAGGAAAAGGCATAACGGATGGATAATTGTTTGTTTGGTGGTATCTCTACAATGGCTCAATGGATCTCGATGAAATTTGGTATAGATGTGAAACACAGTCTGGCAGAAAACATAGACTACTATTTTTTTAATTCCGCGCGGAGAGTCGAGGGATACAGCTACAAAATACATTGATAGACCAAAAGGAAAGTTACACGAAGAAGAATTCCCTTATTTGACTAACTAGTTATTAAAGATTCTATTTATTTCCTCGCGATTTTTAAAAGTATAATTAACAACATTGTTAACTGCCAATCAGAGTAGTTAGATGCTTAGATTAAATATACACTAAGAGACTGGGAAGTTATTCGTCTCTGAGTGTGGCCAAGGTTCATTAGTTTTAACTATCAGTTGGGCACTAACACTCGGTCGGACCGGTCACGTGCTAAAAGCTAAGTACGCGATAAACAAATGATCTTCACAATCCAGATTACTGCACGAAACACGAACGTTCACTATTAAATTGAGATTTAACGGCATTAAGCGACAACACACTAGGGTGCAACGAATATTATGTACTAACATTTCATAATATTAAATAAAGCCTATCTTATTCGAGGATAATGAAGCTTTCAATAATAAAATAAATTTTGAAAACGTTCAAGTTTTCTTTGTTATTCAAATGATAAAGAGAGTAGTTTATCGCGCATATTTAAGTTTGTTTTTATGTATGAAAGTTTGTAAATTCCATTATAACGCCCTAGACCCTAAACCGATTTATTTAGTTTAAATTAAAAATGTTTGAAAGGCATACATTAGATGGCTATTTCTTCTATTAGAGCTTTGGTTTTTTGTTTTTAAATTAAGGTTAGATTATAAAATTAATTATATTAAATACACTAGTGTATACCGACCTTTATAGTCATTACGCGCGCACGAAACCTCGAACCGTTCCCCACCCCGGTCGGCGATTACGATCGCGAAGATATGAACCCGTTTAAAACACGATAATGTATCAGCCGTACTCGAGCACACCCCAAGGATTTATTGGAGAGTTTATCGCACGAAATTGGCGAGATTACGCGCTTTACCAACCGAGAACTCTACATCACTCCTGATTGATGTACTATCCCCTAACGGATGACATATGTATTGCAATGAACTTCTTGAATCAATTTAATCAAATAGAGAAACTTATTACAAGTAGCAGTTCAATCCTTTGCCTCACCACTTGACCTTTCCGTGGTCTAAAACACCCCACGTTTAGTCCTGACTAGAGTCTAAAGTTCCTTATTCAATTTCATCATCAACGCCTTGATCTACTCCATAATTGCAGCATTGGTGCGTTATAAGTGCATTAAAAGCCCCTCACAATCGATGAAACGATCGATCATTGACTGATACAAAGATAATATTCATATCTCTTATCGGCAAGCACACTCAAATTTACTGTAATGGTACCGTTTTGAGGTAAAAGGCGATTACACATTGTACATATTCTAATTCAGAACATGTGAACTCCTTTATACTAAAACTAGCTGTCGCCCTCGACTCCGTCTGCGCGAAATATAAAAAAAAGTTCTAAATCTTAGTCAAATTTCACCAAGATCCATGCAACCGTTCTGAAGATACCTTCTAACACATCCATCCATCTAAACATTCGAATTTATATTAATAATAATAAAGAATGAAAGTAATAAACAATAAAAATATCTAAAATAAGTATTAGGGTACTAAAACAATATTGGATTGGTTAATTTATTTCTATCGGTCACATAATTTCTACGATAATATAATACGAAGACTGAACAATCTATTGCCCTTTAGATGTCCTTAAGGCTTATATATACAAGGAAGGTATCGCTACAGTATTTCATATCATTAATTATAAATTAAATTACAATTATGGTGAAAAATAATTATATTAAAATATAGTCGACGACGTAAGGAAGCTATTATAGAGGTCAAATATGATAAAACTGATGATAAAACATTTTATTAATATAAAACGATGATAGAACTTGCATATCCAGTTATCAGCATTTTAATTGCTTCTTAAGTTTCTAAAATCGGTGACGAATCGAAGGTAGGCGCGACCATTTGTATGAAGATTAGTTTATAGTACATTTAAAAATGGTTATTTTGGAAAATAACTTAACTTTAGGGGTCAGTGTATATTTTCATTTAATTAATATATGTTTACGAATGTTGTATTCATGTCATATTAATCATAATTGTTACTAACTTTAGCCGGCGACTTCATACGGATATTAAATCTTACTAATATTTTAAATGCGAATGTTTGGATGGATTTAAGGATGTTTATTACAAGGTATCTGCAGAACGGCTGAACGGATCTCGATGAAATTTTAAATATAGAACATAATCTGGAACGACAAATAGGCTACTATTTTTTTTAAACCCGGACGCTAAGTCGTGGGCGACCAAATTCAGTAATATAGTCAATGTTTCTTAGAGATAATTCAGTTTTCGTAGTTTTTGTGTTCTTCGGTACATACAAAAGTACAACTCTGTCTCCTTTATAATATTTGTATTGATTACTATAATATATATGCATAAAAAGCAATACAAGGATAGAACTAAATTTTTTGGTAATAAAACTACGTGAAAAATTATTACTTACCATTGAAAAACACATATAACAAAATTTGTAGGTACATAATTAAATTATTTATTTTCATGACAAAGGCCTACGTCAGCACTAATCATCCTACATCAATATAATACTAGTAATCAGTATAAATTCGCGTAAATCGCAACATAAATCCGTTTACGTCATTTGATGCGCAAACGTTTTTGTAGCGGTTTAACAACACACCTGTCAACGTATTACTTTCCTCTTGTAACTACGTCTACGTCATTTACCAAAAACCACACTAATTATAAGTCGTCATTATTAGACATAGAGAGCGTCGGTGGCTCAGGGGTTAAGCACTTGACTTGCAATCTGCAGGTCCTGTCTTCGAATCCCGCCATGTACCAATGTGTTTTTCCATTTCCGATTTACATATGTACATTTATCCGACGTTCTTACGGTGAAGGAAAACATCGTGATGCAACCTGCACGTATCTGAGAAGAAATTCAAAGATATGTGTGAAGTCAACCAACCCGCACTTGGCCAGCGTGGTTGACTATGGTCTAATCACCCTTAACTTAGGGTAGGCTCCGAGCCCCTCGGTGGAGACGTATAGTGAGCTGATGATTATTAGACATTGATAAAATTAAATTGAATGCTATGATGAATTATCAAGGGCCAATATAAATAACCCAATATCCAACTGCTTAATATATTTTATTGATAAAGAGATAATACGAGATTAGTGAAAGAGAAAGAATTATAAGTTAGAAAAAACATGAAACGTAAATGAGGAAGTATGGAACGAGCATAAGTAGATGTGTGGAAAATACACAAAGAAAGACGTCAGACGACAGAGGAAAACCAAAAAGCACCGTGGTCTGGAAATATCAAATAGAAGAAAACCACGGGGATCATCCTTGACAGAAAGAATAGGAGGTTCAGAGAAGATTAACAGTATGCAACATGCCCCGGATAAAACGGGTAACTGGAAAACGACCAGGAACAGTCTGATAAGACTGAACTAACAGAAAAGAAGGAATCTCTACTGTACAAAGCTTAAGTCCAACCCAGGCTAAAGTACGATATTTCAATATATCTTATAAGTACAGT